ACGAAATTACAAAAGCGTTGAGAACTGGTAGAGGGTAAAGGAACCAGATCACTACATACTACGCTACTACATTACAGTATCACTATCGAGGCGATCAATTTTTCATTTGGTTTATTTAGCGAAATTACAATTTCAGATAGACCTTTACGAGTTAACAACGAAGCTTGATGCAATTAAATTGTAACGTAACTGTAAAGTATACCTTTGGCTCCTAATAGTTTGAGAAGTATACGTTCATACTGCCGTTGCGCTAGCGATACAGGAAGATTCCCAACGAATACCGCATGATCATGCGGATCTTCCTTTTCTTGTACATAAAACCGTACAACGTGATAACGACGTAAGGAATCCTGAAAAGTAGTACGTATAGAGTAATAATTTGCAAAATAAATTACTTGTATTTTGTTCCTCGTGTTTTTCTCAGTATTTACCATAGATACGGAGATAGATTTTACGGCCTTACAGTTATTTTATCAGGTATTTTAGAGAATTTACATAGAAAATTTCAAAACCATGTATGATGGGAGGTCCTTGGAACACCACTGATGCCGACTCCACCACCCGCCCCAAGTTTTGTAATTTTCGTTACAAAACTACTTTATAACTCGACTACTTCCAGAAAAAAACGAAAACAATACCTTGCGGAGATTTCGAACAAGTTGCAACATGTTCTCTTGAAAATTACATGTTCGCTCGGCTACTCCACGATCCAGTGATACTTCAATGAGGTTATACCTGAAAAGACAGTTTCGAACTTCGGAATGGAGCAATCAAACAAACCATTTTTTAAATTATACTAGATTTTTTTTTAAAATTTCGATCTTCAGTTTCAAACTTGTAAAGTAAATATCGAGTTCAAAAATAAATTACCTGTTCCAGGTGCTAGGATCGAGGCCAAAATTTTGCAACGCATCTGCGAGCGCATCTTGCACCAACGTATCTCTATTTACAGTTAACGTACAAAACGTTACAGGAACTCTGAAAATCACTTGACTAATCCGAAGTAAAGTAAATATGAATGACGATCGTCAACGGATTTATCAGGAAGTATGCAGAATTATCAGAAAGTATCACACATCTTTACTCTGCTGCTTTCAACGTCAAAAAGTTGCAATAACAATACTTTAGAACTGCACTACAGCATTCACTTACCTCAGCCAACCACCGTAAAGCTTAACG